TCTATCACAAATTAATAACGAACACGTAAAATATAATACTGAAACGAAAGTTATCAAAACCGAGTCACAGTGATTAAATTTCTACCATCAAAAGAATCTATTTGTAATAAGAATCGCCTTTTTGGAGTAACAGTTTGTAAAACACACAAAGCCCCGTTTTCGACGCGTAGAACATGGATGCGAATGTGGGTCGCTCGCGTCAAAGACGAGGTCGAGACGAGGCTTTGTCGTTCGGCTTGCTTCTTGAGATAACAGCTGACTTCCGGTGGCTAGAAAGCGGCAGTCAACTTGTCTGTGACACGGGTGAAACGTCGTCGATTGCTGGCGATGAGTTTTTGCTCGACGGAGCGGAGAATATTGTCTTTGCCGAACGGTCAATTGGCTCGGATTAGGACCTTAGCCCTTATTATGTGTCGCTCCGGTGGTCCTCTATTTTCTTCAAAGATATTTTGGAAATACCGTATATCTAACAAAATATCTACAAATTAATTGTTCTTGAATAAGAGTACATATTTGAGGGTGGTTTGAATTTTTTAGTACATGTTAAATATTTGAACAGAATTTTTTATAATTCACTTTCTTCGTCTTGTGTTATTAAAAAATGTTTATACGAGTAAAATGTATTCTACAATTTGACGTTTAGAGTGTTAGACCAACTTTAATATGTTTTCACAAAATATGCTTCATTCTATAATATATCATAAAATACATATTCTAGTTGACTCAAATGAAGTTTCTAAATGATCTTGCTATCATTCTTGTTTTTTATTATCATACAGTGACTTCAACGATCTTGCAAGCTTTTTAACATTGAAAATAAAAATTAACACGAGGTTTAAGTTTAATATAGTAAATGTAAAAATATAAAGTAAATATATTTTTGATGAAGTTAAAAGAATATTTAGATCGATACCGATCGATGAAAACGACAGAGTCTCCCATAACCATTTTTATCGGTCGTTCGTCCCCGCGACAGTGTATTACGTCCATTTCTTCAGTGACGCCGTGAAACCACCGGCAAATCCACTTTTCTTCCTTCGAACCAGGATACACGAGACACGCGCACGCGACTCGAATACAATGTATCCCGAGGAGTCTGCACGCGATGTCGAAGACACGATATATCTTCCCATGGATTTCCCCGTGTCCCCTTCGCGCTCGTAAACACCCTTACCGTGGAGATCTCTCCTCTCGCTTTCGTTCTAGCCATTCGTTCACCAACTAACTAATGGAATTTCGCGAATTCGTCGCGACGCGGTCTAATAAACCCCACAAATTTTCACACGCGATCGCGTAAATCGATCGATCGCTTTCAGAGGAGCAGCTGCAATCAATCTCCCAATTTGTTTTGTTCGGGTTTCTTGTTTGGGTGGATCGGTTCATATTTGCAGTGCCGCTGAATAGAGTATTCTTTTATTGAAATAGTGTTGGGGTAGATAACTTTTTTCCAATGTATTATTTATACATTCATTTTAAAATTCATTTATAAATACTTTGCCAGTGATCGGTTTACCAATCTCTAATTTTCTGTAATATACAGTTTATCTTTTTACAAAATATTTCACAAAGTACATGAAGTATTTCTTAAGGCAATGTAAATGGGTTAAGCACATAATTGTTCAATAACCTTATAAAAATTTACTATAAAACTTCATTATAACTGCGTGAGATAAGTACTTTATACTATACCAGTAAACCTAATCGATATCGTAAAGTGCGAGGAAAATATTTACGTCGAAAGGGGTTAACAAACGAAGTTGACCCCAACCCTCGAAGAAGGCCGAAGTAAAAATTTGCCAGGCGAAGAGTAGATCCCGCGATAAAAATTAACGAAGGGGGTAATCTTCAATAAACCGTGGCGGGGATCACGAAAGGAATTCGTGGGCAGATCGGCTCTCCCCTAAAATCGAAAGCAGCCCCCGAAGTCGGTTCGGTCACGAAACCGTCGTCTTCCCTATCGATCTTACACGAGCCATCCCGAAGCACGACCATGCGCAGAAGTCAGCGGCGAACGAGGGTCGTGCTTCATTTTTGGGCCAGAGGGGGTGCTGGGTCCACGGGTCTCGTTGCCTTTCCATCCCGAACGGCGAACGTCGACCTAATCGGGGATCGGGTAAACACCCGGAATGTCGGTCGAAGGAAAATATCGGGTGGTAAATATCTATCGAAATTATTATAGAGAGGCAGACGGGGTTACGCGTGACAAGAGTGGCTCGACGTCGCCCTCGTGGACGCCGTCGTCGTCGACGACGTCGGCGGCGGCCATGTTTGCGCCGACACAGTAGGCGTTCACGGGCGGTACCATCCCTCCACCCGTTCTCCAACGACTTTGGAGA